TGTCGACAAGGCCGGGGCAAAGACCGTGGACGGTGGACTGTGAACTTCGGACTAGCCCATCCATCCATCCATCCACTTTGCAGACCCCAGCGCCGCGCCGACGTCGGTCAGCCCCAGTCCTGGTCGTCGCATCTTGTCCTTGTTGACAGCCTGCACGCTCGCACTCCCTGCTGCTCTGCCCCTCGTCCTGCCCTCTCCGTTCTCTCTATCTGCATCTCTCCCGAGTACGGCCACCACCAAACAAATCTTTGCGAGGTGGATGCGACGCGCCGCTATCAAATCTCCCGGACTGCAGCTTCTTCCAACGCCAACTGGCTGCAGTGCATCCTGCATCCGGCCATCCTGTAGTGAAACCAGCAGAGCAAGCAAGCAGTCGCCTCATTTCCATTCGCGAGTGGCCTGCCGACACATCAGATCACCAGGACTTGGGCCTGCTGCGTGAATATTTTCTCCGTCCTGGTCGCCTGCTAGATAATTCTGATCAACAGCACGCACGGCGGCACCGCCTCGGGCCTTATCTCACATCTCACCCATCTCGTTCAACCGGCATGAAATTATGCTTTTCGCCCTCCCTCCTGGTCGACTCACGCACCACTTCTTAGCGCTGCCCGCAGCGGAGTGGAGACGGGAGACGGAGCGCCCACATGCAAAGCTCTCCCAGAATACCGTTTAGTTGCATCTACGGCTTATCCTCTTTTCTTTCCTCGGGAACATACTCGCCGAACCTCCTCCATCCTTTTCCAAACACGAGTGCTGGGCCGGCCATCCAACTCCACCGACTTTTTGGCCAACCTGTCCTCCCTCCCACCATAACGCCCTCACACCCATCTGGCGGACTCACGTCAACTGCGCATTCTCTCCTCCCGATTAAAACCATCTTCATTGACAAGAACGTCGTCAAAACACCCCCCTTTCGTCGACGTTGAATCTGTTTCTCGCCGCCCCGCAGCTCCATCTGCAGGCATCATGTTCCGGCCGACCCCCATGACAGGGTTCTTTATGGGAACTTGCGCTAGTTCCCGTTTGGGATCCTTGGGGGGTGTGAAGCCCGTGGCGAGTGGGGTGGGTGGCACTCAGCCGCCAACGACACTCTTTGACTTGGCTCCTCCCACACGTGTAGAAGAAAACACTTTTGGATCACCGCCTAACTAGCTACTGCGTAGTCAACAAAGACTCAAGCTGGCGGTTGCGCAAAGAAAGCCACGAAACATGTTTATTTTTGACTCTAAGCGACACGAGCGCGGCAAGCTTGCGCTCCAACGTCGTCTCTCGGTTGGCGCCGATCTTGTCGACGCCCGAACTACCAAGTGGTTTGTTGTCACCCAAAAAGTGTGTGTTGCGGCAATGCAAAATAGTCGCCACCTCCACGCAACCCATCCGCAATCAAATACCGACCGGATCAGAAATCCCGCAAGCTGCCGTTGGATTTGGCATTTCGAGATCAGTTTTTGATTCGGGACTAAGACGTCCTTCAACGGCCAAAGACAAGGGTGTGCCATGGTACCTGAAGTTGTGCTCCACCACCCCCGCGCACGCCATCCTGTAAGGCTCTGACGTTCTCGCGAACCCCCACGTCTTTACGTCGTCGCAAAGAGCCGCTTTCAACGTCGTCTCATGTTTCTTATTTAAGGTGCTTTGCGTCTTTTCTGGCGTTTCTGTGATATTCTATGTGATATATTCATCCTCCTTCGCAATCACAGTGCTCGGCGTCGCGTCTGTGGGCATCTTTATGCCAAGCGGACACCTGACTCGAAACATGGTATGCGAACCACTGCTTCTTAGTCGTGTGTTATCGGGTCGATCGGGAGCACGACTCCGCGCAAGCGCCGTTGCATGTCACCTCGTCCAATTTGCCACTGCTGAAACTTTTACTGCCAACCTAGTCCAGAAGAGCATGATCATCATCTGTTTTCGACCAAAGCACGGCAGCAAGCTTTTCCCTCTCACGCGGCCTCATAAGATACACGGGCTGTAGCATGCTTGACGATCTCTCCGGTGCTAACACCTAGTACATAGCGTGGTGCAAGGTGCCATGGACGTTGCCGATCGCTGTTCTTCCCATGCCGAAGCGTGTCGGTTCGGCTTGCGCCGGTCCTGGAACCATATGTTTAGCGCCCAGGTATCGTGTGGTTGACGGAGCTGCATTTGAAATTGTGTGTGACGTGAGCTGTAACATGACGTAGTTTATATGAGTTGTGTTACATGGCGGTAGTCGACGACGTTGAGGAAGACGGACGAAGAAGACGGCGTGGACGGGAAGCCGAATGAGATGGCGACAGGAATGGAAATCACGAACGACAATCCATCTCCCTCGTGTTATGGGCACGGTCACATCTCTCTTAATGCCTCATACTGGATCTACAGGATCGATGCGATTTGTCCTTCTAGCACCACATGATGGTGGCCTTTTTTGCCTCAGGGGCCCGCTTGCTCACATGTAGCATCATTCATTGACTACCCATAGGGCATTGGCCTTCTTTCTCACTGTCGCTTCCTCGCTTCTTCTTCATCTCTTCCGGTACTGCTTCTATCATTGCTCATCTATGGCTTCGCCGGCACTACGCAATTACTCATCTCTCCCAAGTCTGAAGCCTTCTACTGACCAAGCCCCAACAGTAGCTCTTCATATCGAGATTGCAATGATGCTACATCTCTGCGTCAGTGCCGCCCAGCGACGAGCCCGGATACATCAAGGCGCTGTGGTCACAGCGCTGTCAAGAAGACTGGCAGAAACTATATGCCAGCTGCGAGAATTACATAACCTCTGGCAAGCCTCCGTTAGGTGACGTCGAATGCTGCCTGATATGACCAGAAGGAGTTTCGCCGGCTTGAGGGTAATGACTGCAGACTTTATCGTGGGTTATTCAAGGTTGGTGATTTTGAATAAGCAGACAACGGCCACAGCGTGACGCCAGAAATGGCGGAGAATGACGACAGGATGTGACCAAAACAAGAAGCTCTCGCAGATAAGCTCATAGCAACTTGTCGGTGGAAAGAGAAAGGCTATCATTCATCCACTTACTCTCGTTTCTACCCCTTATTGGCCTTCTGCCTGCCTTTACTGAAGCTAGTTTGCCTGGGAAATATAGTGTTTTGTAGGCAAACACAGGGAACCAAATGACTAGTATATACCTGAGAACTTTGTGCGGGAGGTGATTGACTAGAAAACGCTCAATATGGGGGGCGGTAATAGTTTACAATAGTTCAGAGAGACATGTAGGCCTGTCCTATACGACGTATGCCCCAGGGAGCGATCTGAGCCTAGCTCTGACGTCGAAGGATAGAACAATAGCAACAGAATACACACCAGAGGTCCTGTAAGAGTCGAGCAATTGCCGAGGCTGTGTGCTGCTATACGTGGGCATACCGACCCGATGGCAACGCCCTGCTGCATGTTGCATCTGCCCACTGCAGACGGCACTTATGCCGGGTGTGATCCTCTTCGCAACATCAACATCTTAAGCCGCATGCATATCGTCCTTATCAGTCATCACTTTCTACACTAATATCGCCTTTTGGCATTCGCCTGTAATCATTAGAGATGGGCTCAAAAACTGCCCATGTGTCCCACCACTCCAGAAATCGTCTTCCGGATTTTGAGTAAGCTGAGCATTGGCGTGGTCGTTTGAGTTTGAGATCTTCAGATGGTCTTAAGACGGCCTTTTTTCAGATTTTACCGAGTCTCTAGGGAATCAGTGCTTTTAGTACAAGTTACAAGTCTTTTGTCACTGCTCGTTGATATGATCATATACTCAAGTAATGCTTAGAAAATCTTGGTGCTTTTTCCTCGCCTCATCACAATCATCAGGCGTCGACAGGTCCCCTCTTTCATCTTCTGAATATCTTGGGAGGACGAATATTTTCGCAGACACTGTCATAGTAGACAAATGCGTCTAATGATGAGTCTTTCGTTAAGCCACTGGGACCCGGAAGTCCGGCCACAAGGGCAGGTATAATTGGGACGATATGAGCATGACGATTCAAGGACTTTCTTGAAAAGGATCATAAGCCTCTATTTGGATGATTCACTAAATAAGTTGGCTAATGTCTGAAATGTGGGTAAAGATAGAGAAAGAGGATTCATATGCAATTTCCAAGAAAAGCATACCTGATGACTGATTTGATGTACTAGTATGATGAGACAGGCGTCTTCCTCATCAGTTCTCATTGAATCTCTACATGGATCAACTGCAATAATGTAAAAGGGCAATCTCAAGTATTCTTGTACCTCTTGTTGCTGAGCCCAAATTCAATGATGTATGAAACGTATCTATCCTCCAGCTACTGTCGCTGTCACACATCCTCGCGATCTGGCCCTTGAGGTGAGGCCTTTGTCAAAGCTTTGCGTATTCGCCGAATCGGTCCAAAAGCAACCAAAGCAAATAGCAACGTTTCACAGCCGCACAGTATTCGTCCATCAACTCTAGGAATATCTCGTCCGAAACATTGACAAATGCTTCATCAGATTTCCACTCGTAACCAATAAATTTTAAGCTGTTGACAGATACTTTGAGCACCGGCAGCAATATGAAGAAGACTAGCTCAAGAAGGCTCGTCGGAAGCGTTCTGAGACAGAGGATAAAGGACCTGAAGAACACGCCCAATTTTTGAGCACATAAAGCCACAGACCGAATCACGAACAAATTCCAACGTTCATATCGACGCGATTCATGCCAATATTGTAGGACAGCTGGTAGTACAGATGGCAATAATGAGGAGGCGAGATAGGTTGATACTGGGACGAGTATAAAAGAAAGCAAAAAAGCCGGTGAAGTCTGAACCTTTTGGTCATTTGTAGCGTCGTTCAGAAATGGGAGTGCCCAAAATGTCTATTTTCGGTGTTATTCAATATGTTTACCAAGTACGGAATTAGTGGAAGAATAACACACGGCTAGGAAACTCAAAGGAGTGTATAGAACAGTGACGATGGCGAAAACATAAATGGCCTGGTTCAAGGATCGGGAGTCATTCGCCTCCCTCAAAGATGTTGCATCAAAGATCTAAAAGTCCTTAGCGAAGTGACCGTCTGAGGCTGAGTAGATTTCTTGCTTACCCCGTCCTGGAGGCGTGTCAAGCTGTCCACTTGTTGTTTTATTCGATTCAAAATTCTCTGTGAGCTTGTCAACTGACTTAGATACGATTTTCCAGTGCTTGATGTTGAATGTGTTTCCAGCTGAAGTAGGTTTGGACAAAGAGAGGTCACGAAACATCTCTCGTAGATGGTCCAAAGAAGTCATAGATTCCAAGACACAATCCTCAGCTATCTTCAAGAACTGAAGCGCTGTAAAGCATCTTTTGGTAGGGTTGAACTTGCGGTCAAATATTGATTGTTCGCCCCCGTGACCCCAAATGTCGTCTATTTCTGATGCCTGAAATTTGTCAGTTCAGAACTGACTGATTTTGTGAAAGCCAGAGCATGATGAGAAACACAAGCAGAAGTTGTGGCACAAATCTTCAAATTCAACTAAGCTGAAAACAACGATCTCACAACTTTGCTCGCACACTTTCACTTACCTTCTCAACAAGCTCTACAACACCCTCCGCACAGCCGTACGATCCCATGTAGCCCCAACCTGAGTGGCCATAATTGTGAACAATCCAGGTTTGATCGTCCAGTCTCTCTTCTTCAAGCCGCAAGCCCCCCTTTCTCCAAGGGCGGAAGCCAACGCCATGTCGAATAACGTCCAACCCCGCGACACCCTTTCCGCCAGCAATATCTGGGCACATGTCCACAATGCGTTGCATGATGCGGAGTGCCGTGTTCGGGTCGGGCTGCGAGTTCCAATTGCCAATGTCGTATGTGCCGCCCAGAATGGTACCGCCGCCAGCTGCTCTCTGCATCGCGTAAATCTCTTCCCCGCTACCGTCCAAAGGGCTCGAGCACATTAATAGGGGGAAATTCCTCGGAGTCTCGTTCCGTACAACCACAACTTGACCGCGGGATGGAGCCATCGTCGGATCTTCGACACCAACAAGCTTCAAAGACCCGAGACCGGTTGCGTTTACAATGATGTTGGCTGTCCTGCCCGTGTGGCTGAGGAACTTTGCCTCGTTTATGTTTTTGAGATTACCGCGCTTGACCACGACGCTGTGCTTGAGGCATTGGCCAAGAAGCCAAGGAAGGTAGATGGCTGTGTTGATACAGACCCCTTGATATTGAAATCCAGAGTCATATCCGGGAGCTAATTCAGAAGCATTGTTATCTCGGAAGTTGTTGAAGATGGACTTGTACCATGGGTTCTGCTGGTAGAAATGGTTCGAGAAGCCAGATGCGTCACGCGCCATGTCTATGTCTCGGCGAAGGATATGTGTTGCTGTACCCGAATCATCAGTAACAGAACAATGCGCCGGGATATGCAAAGACCAGTAACTAACTCTGAAAATGAATACCTGCCTCAGGGTTCTCCTCAGTTAGCTTCTTGAGTGCCACCCAGGTTCGTCGTTCCCAGCGACTCCCTTCCTCAGGTGATAGCCTGCACAGATAACGCACTCACATCAGAAAGCGAACCATTTCGATGAGAAAGGGGTCTGCTCACGGAATGACGTTAGCCCCGGCCCAAGGCGAGGCATACTCAGCATCATAGTCGCCAGGCATATGCTTGCCGACCACGGTTACGCTATTGCCCTCCTTGGCCAGCAATAGCGCGGAGGTAAGGCCAATCACACCAGCGCTGGAAGATGGTTGTTGTCAGTACCAATATCCTTGGGTTTCTGTGTGGGCCGGCCTGGAGACTTACCCAACGACAACTATCGTATTGGACATTGTAGAAAGCAGCGGCAACAAGAATTCAACGTGAGACTTTGCGTACTCCGAAACCCAACTTTGATACGCGATCTATTTGAGTGATGGCGTTCCATGGTTTGCCATCCCGCGTAGAGTTGTATTTCTATTCGAACCTAGTCTCAGTCATTGATATCGAAGAGCCCATCCCATCAGTAGCAGCCTATCGTTTAATGGGACATACACGCGAGCAAGCCAGGCAAGTGGATTCCTGTTATCGACAGCGAAGGGGGCCAGATGACAGGGCGTGGAAGGTATCTGCCTGCTGTCGCGGAGATCTTCCTGGTTTGGTATCCGCAGGAGGCTAGTAGAATGCGGGGGATCAAGTGGCATGCAAAGCCCCTGCTTGATCTACTCCAGCCGGTGGCGGAGCTCCTCAAAGCCAAGGGCGGTTGAGGAGCTCCGCCCCCGCAAATGGCGGATTTGCGGATTTTCTGCTGCGTGACGTGAGTTGAGCGTATTGGGCGTGTTGAGCGTGAACGCAGACCTCCATACGATTCTGGAGCTATGTACAGCAGACATTCTTCGCGGGGAGGTAAGGTCTCAAAATCGGGCCAATTGAACGAGAGTGAGTCTTGGATTCTTAGAGCTACACAGTTCTCGATATTCCCGAGACAGGTCAAGAGATCAATCGCTTTGGCGTACATGGGGAAAGGTGCCCAATGGCATAGCCTGCAGAGGCGGCACTGGCTGTCGAAACAGCAAGTCTTGTGTGAATTAAACAGCAGGATTTGAGAAGACTCAATGCAAAAAGAAAAGGGAATTTCCCACCTGCTTGAGACAATTCAGTACGATAGCGACGTATTCAGACGCCGCAAACTTGTCCACATATATCTGATAATGAGGCGAGCTTTCAGTATCTCCGTGAAACATTTGGCAAGGCAATGAGAATTGATTTAGGAAGAACAAAATTTGGGAATTAGGAAGCTCTTCACTTCTAGCTAGAGTTGGAATTGTCCGCGCACGACCAAGCAGATGAGCCTCCATCAGCTTTGTAAGAATCGACAATGCCCACAACGGCGCCATACGTGCCAGCGATCATCATAAAGGTGCCAGCCACTATTACAAAGACACTCCAAGCAACCATAAGACGCCAGCGTATAGTAGGGTTCTCTTTACGAGCCCAGTTGTCGTAGAGCCACATACATCCCATAGGTTGAAATGATAGCAGCGTGCCAAAGAGCGCTCCGGAAAGAGAGACAATGCCGTTGAAGACGGGGATTGCACTCGCGAGGATATAAGCCAGGAGGCAGACACCAAAGTTGCAGCCTAGCCATGTGGCCCAATGCACAAATGAGTTGGACGCGAGGTGCTTCGAATTGCGCAGAAAGCGGACGAACAGATATTTGCTCGATACCTTCGCACTCGATTAGCGGAAAATTCCCTCCGCAAGGATACGGAATGACTTACATGAGCCAGAAGTACACCACTGACAAGCAGTCCGGGGAAAGCTATACCATTTGAAACCTTCTTGATAGTCACACCAGCAGATCCAAGGGCAGGCGAGGCGACATAGGATCCACAATAGTAATACACGACGATGCCAACAGTCAGGAATATGATGGTAACGACTGTCTGACAAAGTGCTAACGCCCGAGGATAGAGATTGGGGTCTCTCATCTCAGATACAATAGGAAAGAAGGCACCTGTGCCGGCATACGCAAAAATGAGCGTCGACACGGCCGAGACGGCCTCGGAAAAGCTTGGGTTGCCAAAGGTTCTGTAGTCAGATTCTCAATGGACATCCTTGGGAGCGTTTGGGGGCTGATCTTGAAAGCTTACGGCGATGGTCACGGTTAACACTGAAGCCTGTCAGCTAACTTGTGAATAGGCGGCCAAAGGTGGGATGAACTGACCTGCAGTAATCATGCAAACCACGCCAACTATCGCGAGCCAGGTGATGCGACCGAGGGTGCGAATGCTCGCCAAGATGGAGATCAGAACAAATGCAACGGCGAAGAAGACGGCGGTGCAAGCGCCGTGGTCCGAGAGGGCGTTTAGACTGATCGAAAGACTCAGCATCGCTGAGCCAGCCGTCATCACGTATTCTAAACACTGTCAGTCCCAATATTTCGATCGAGACTCATCTATGGAAAATACTCACGGCCCATAAACGCGACAGCGAACAGTTCTTTTCCGATACGACCAAACATCAGCTGCCCGGCGTCATCGACACCATAAACACTGCGATGGTTGACTTTGAACACTGCCACGATGTAGTTCGACCAAGTAGTGATGCCTGCAATGGTGCAGAGTATAATTGCCCCGGGGATCAGTCCCAATGTGTCGAAGACGGCCGGGAATGACAAGACCCCAAGACCAATCTGAGTCTTCATCATCAAGCATGAAGTTCCAAACCATCCGACCTACGTGTGTGTCAGTAGGCCAAGATACTGAGGAGGGAGAGAATGATGTTTACATCACGGTAATTTGGGCCCGTCCTTGGACATGTCTCCGAAGACCGCGTCATGTTCTCTGTCTGTCAACGTCTCACCCACGCGCAAATCCTCAGGATTGCCGTGGATGTCGGTCGACGATCGCTTCACGTCTTTCGTCATATTATTCAAAGATTCACGCCAATGGATTTCTAGATTAATGAGTGTCAACACAAGGAACGTAAAGCAACCTGACGACGTCTCATTATTTCTTTTATAAAGGACCCTTGTCCGCAGTTTACCTGTTTTCGGTACCCGATGCAGCCGGGGTAAGGGAGCTCGTGGAAGAGTGCCAGTTTTGTTGTGATAACCAGCTACCCCGGATTTTGAGATAAGTCACTAGACCGGGGGCCTTGCTTCGCGGTCTCTGCCACTCTCCCGTACTCCGCGCGTCTGTACCCCGCGCGCTTCGCCGTATTGTCAAAAGGGCGTAGCCATCAGCGGTGTGTGTATCTCCTCGGATGTTGCATTCCAAAGCTGGCTTGCCTCATCCTACCGTGGTGTCGCCACGAGGCGTCCGTCTGGAGACAAAATGACATCGCTACCCGGCCTGCTGTGGCTTTCAGAATTTATTGGCTGCCGTCACATCCCACATCCCGAGCGGTATTGTCAGACGATGACCAGAGTGCCTGATGCAAAAGACTGTCCGGCCTACGTCAAGAGCTGTTTCATCAGTGGTCATGGTCAGGTTGTCCAGCTATGATACTCGCGTTCATCAGCCTGTCCATCATACTACTTCATTTCCTCCGAAAACACAGCAAAAGCTCCATTTAGTTAGAAAAGTGCGTGAGAATGTCCGAGAGGGCAACGGAGTTCCAACACGGGCGGGACTGCTGACTTGCTGTCGTCATGCGTGGCATACCGCAGAAGCAACTCAACGTTGGGAAAGGGGGCATAAGTCCGTACGATCTCTGCAAGCTTTGTATTGTTGTTCACAGTACCTTCATCTAGCCGTGTTCATCCTGTTATTTTCTCTTTATGTAAGGTTAGGATAGAAACGCCGGGCCTGAGTGGACTTAGCTCGAGACGTTGGCTAGGCATTTGCCGTTGTATCCTGGATAAGTAAGCCATATGGAATTTACCGTAAGACAGACTCGACGGTACGCTTTAGCGTCGAATTGATTTCGTATGGGCATTGGAAATGTTTATCATACGCCTTCTACCCACGAAGCGGCCAAGCCCACCCTTCTTGAGTGGCTTTTGAGCAGACATGTACAGCTCCACGTTCATGAAGCGTGACTTCCGATGGTCTTTTTTTGACGGATTTGTGGCTTTTGTGAGATATTAACCCCTTTTCAACTAGTCGTCAGCCCTTCCCGAATCTGATGCTCTTCAATGATCTGCTGCAGCGAGACAGGCCTGATAACCTCCACAGAGAGTCCCAGCTGGCGTATCGCATCACCATGGGACCGGATAGCATCTGGGTTGATCAATGAGCTCTGTACAACAACCCTGCCATGACGATACCGGAGGGCGACCGCTTCCCAAGCTTCGGTAACCGCAGACCCCAGAGCAAGCTTGAGCGTCCCCCGAACGATGATGACTGCCGATTGCCCGTCCCGAGCCTTCTGGTAGCGGAACAGCATCGCCACGCCTTGCCTGCCATTCCAAAGTTCCATCGTCTCAAGCTTCGGCATCTTCAGCGCAGCACCTGCGGCGTTTCGTAGCATGCTGCTGATGTCTTCGAAGTCCTCATCTCCGGCGAGTGCCCTCGCTGTCAACGCTAGACGTGTGAGGTTTCTCCACTCCAATGAAAATCTCTTGCTCGCCCAGAAGAAGCAGCTAGCATTGACCTTGAATGAGGCTGAAAGCTCCGTGAGTTGCACACTAGCGCTCGCGAGTTTATGGCTTACAACAGTAATTGGCACCCTGATAGCGGGGCAAGAGGGAAAGCTTACCGTGTACGCCTCATTGAAGTTTTCGAAAATTGTCAGCTTCGATTGTTTCGTCTTGTGAAGCGAGTCAATGAATTGGTGGGTAACTGTCGAGTTTTGGTCAGCGAGTCGAAGTCACATTGTGTCAGCACGATACTAACGTTGATCATTCAGTTGCTGTGACTGGCTCCATTCTCTCCAAGGCTCGTAGCAAAGCTCCGTCATGTTGGGGAAGCGCGTGAGCATGCTTGCGAGGGTGGCTGGCCACCATTGACGACGGGTTTGCTGGCGGAGGAGCACGGCCGTGACCGCAGGCATGAGGGGCATCGACCGCCACCACCGGATCTCCTGTTCCTCGTCTAGAAATGATGCCTGGCTCATGATCTCGTCGAAGGAGTTGTAGATAGAGCGCTCGTGGGGAGCGGCAGTTTGCCGCCCAGCGACCCAGCCGTGAGGCGGGTCGTGGATGGTCGTGATCCTTTGCTGGTCATCCCCGCTGCTGCGCTGTAACAGCGACGAGAACTCGCCAAGGTGGGTGTCTGGGCGGAAGCTGAGATACTTGAAGCAATGGAGCGCATCGCTTGGCGAGGAGACACTGATGTCGAGAACCAAGTGGCTACGCGGCTCCCACGTGCTAAGGGCCGCGGCCAAGCTCTGGAAAGCATACACGATCAGATTGTCATCGGCTGGGTTTTCGCCGAAAACGTCCACGCCCTCGTCCTCGTCCTCGTCCTCGTCGTTGCCATTTTCATCGACATCTAGTGGGCACTTGTAACAATGGTAGCTCTCCAGTTCCACGCGAAACCATACGTAACGGATGAGACTTCTCTTGCGGAAGAGAATAGCAGTAGAGTTAGGATCGAACAGGCGCGATGGCGTCAGGCTGATCTCGGCAAAAATCAACGTTTCGAAGAAGGAATGCCATTCTCGCGAAATGGTAGCAAGCTGGCTGTACTTAGCGCCGTGGAGGCCCGACAGAATGCTGAGCACCTCATTCCGAAGTTCGGGGGGAAGACGAGCCCAGAAGGTATTGGCGTTGGACATCTCGACAATAGCGCCGACGACCGACGACGTCGCAATTTGCCTACACAGCAAATAGCGAAATGAAGAAAAGTGTAGGATGGGCTTTGTCTTTGCCACTCAAAGATGGTACTTTACGCCCTGTTGCCGCAAGGGTTCATCTGCTGAGGGCTATGACTGAAAATGTCCTTGGTGATGCCCTAGGCCATAACAACCTTGAGGTACATCGCAGGAAGGGACCATCTACTTCGTCAGTGAATCACATAGCAGTCTTCTCTTCAAAACATAATTATCCTCGTCTGTTCTTCACAACCGTACTTGAATAAAGGAAGTTTGAGACCTACGGGTATTGAGTCGCCTACCACTGTATTTCAGGTCCTGCCGAGGTTTGCTGAAGGTAGAATATGATATAGAGAAACACATAAGCCATCTGATCTCTGCATGAGGATTGAAGCGGGGGACTTCATGCAACTCTCACCATAGATCTTGTGTTCATCTGAAGCTCGGGTTCAACCTGCAGACATATGGGATGAACAGTCTCCAACCTGTTGAGCATGAATATGAAGAGGGATGCTATGTTTGCTTGGTACTGCTTTTAAATTGCGCCCAACCGCGTCAGGTCTACGATGTTTGACAAGCGCCAATCCGATAGCATATCTGGGTCAAGATAGCCGCGATCTAGTTCGTCTATCAACAGTTGCCTCTCTATTCCAGTGCCCATCGTCAGCGACTACCTCGTGTCTATAGAAGTCCACGTCTATGAATCTTTTCATAAAATTGTTTTGAAATGCAAAATGTGCATATTTTCCATCTCCCTTCAGATCAACGTTCGAAAAATTGACCAAGCGGACATCGAGACAGCCTCCTTTTCAATCATCACCCTCCTGACAAGCCGAACCCTTAAACAGAGTAATCCAGCTTTCCATCTCCAAGAAAACCCCAAAACTCCTCAACAAGCTCCTTCTGCCCACTCGGCGCCCCCCTGACGGCGAGGTACACCCTCTCATCGACAGCAGGCTCCCACACACCCGGGTTTCCACCGGCCATGATACCCCCCGCCTCGTTCAGGATACACCACCCGGCGCAGACATCCCACGCCCAGCATCCGCCCTCCCAGTACGCGTCCAGCTGTCCCGCCGCGACGGCCGCGAGGTTCAGCGCCGCAGACCCCAGCGCGCGCATGGAGTGCACCATCGCACCGCCGCTCTCCTTCGTGGCCGCGAGCTTCTTGAACGTCTCCGCCTTGAGCTCGAAGTTGGGCCCGTCGCGCGTGGACCCCCACTCGCACGCGAGCAGCGCGCTGTCGAGGCCGCGGAGGGGCACCGGGGACTTGGCGAGGGGCAGGCGCTGCTGGGCGCCGCCCGCGCGGCGCATGAAGGCGCCCTTGCCCTTGACGGCGGTGTACCACAGGTCCTGGAAGGGGTTGTAGATGACGCCGACGACGGGGACGTGGGCGACGGCGAGGCCGAGGGAGATGCAGGCGTCCGGGAAGGAGTGGACGAAGTTGGTGGTGCCGTCGATGGGGTCGACGACGAAGGTGGGCTCGGGGCCGAGGCGGGTGCCCTTTGTGTAGGTTTCTTCGCCCATGAAGGAGATGTTGGGGTATGTTGTTTGGAGGCGGGTCGAGACCATCTTCTCGACGGCTTGGTCTGTTTCGGTGACGATGTCGACGGCTGGGAGGGGTCAGTTAGCTGGGGTTCGGAGCTTGCGTGGGAATGCTGCGGGATGAGAGGCGCATTCACAGTTGAGCTTGGTCCCTTGGTCGATTGAGGACGGGTTCGCGGCCATGATCATCTTGCCCGCCTCGCTGGCGATGTCGACCAGGGTGTCGTGGATCTCTTGGAGGTTGAGGTCCGCCATGTTTGCTGCTGATATCTGTAGTCCCTAAACGCGATTGATCTCAATTGCACTGGTTCGTCTTCGTCTTCAAGGGCGTGGGCGTGTTCCTGGTGAGGAGAATTGTCTTTGTCGATCACTGGTTTTTGGAGTCCAAGGTGAGCTTTGGAGGGGCAGAGGGGGAGGGGAACGGAATAATGGCGGGGTTTGGGGAATGAGGTCACAGCTTGGGGGGACTGTGGGGAACTGCCAACGGGCGGCTCTCACCATTCCTTCAATGTCAACCCCGGCACGGTTGTCAGGTCAGGCTCTTCTCGGGAGGGTCTTGGCGGGTTCGGATCAGGCGGGCGGGCAGGGACCCGGAGAGACGTCGACCAATCGCCGCCTGCAGAAGGAGCATGCGACGGACGTTCACATCAGGCCACGGGAGATGAAAAGCTGCGGTTGTCCCCCAAATTCAGTGAGGATCCGGTTACATTGCGGCAGTATCCACAGATTGGTAACCCGGTGGGATGCCGGGAGCGGCATGTCCGGCGTTCGCACTCTTCCGGAGAGACACTACGCAGGGACATCAATGGCGGGCCGGTTTGTCGATCACGGCTTATTGTAAAATTTTATTGCTCTCGCAGAGAATAATTTGGATGAAAGAAAGAACGAAAAGACCCAACGCCGTGGATTCGCGTGAAACAATATTGCACATCCCATTCGTGACATGTCCGGTGCCCTGCCCGTCCTTCTGGCCCGCTTTCCTTACATCATATCTCCATAGGATTGCCCAAAGGCAAGCTGGCCTCCCTCCGTTCTGCTCGATCATCCTCCTCCGTTATGGCTCGGCTGTAATCGTTCTGTTTTGTCGGGCCCCTCTAGAGACCGCAATTTCTACTTGTATCCATCGCCTGACTTGCGGCGGCGCATCTTGTTGGTCGTAGTCTTCTTATACGTTCTCTCTGAAAATGGACCTCCGTTCTGTTGGGCTCTCGCCGTTCTCCTTGGGCTGTTGCTGCGGCGCAGTATCAACCATTGGCCGCGGGCTTACGCCGCGGAGGCTGATGTTGCTTGGCTCCGCGTCGTCGTCGAAAGGATTCCTGCCTCCCTTGGGTACGGCGAGGTCGTCACCGGGCCGGCTGAGGCTGCGACCCCTCGCGGGCTCATCGTGAACGTTGGGGGTAGCGGCCATGTTCATGTTGTAGCTGTCGCCTCCGCCAGCGCCGCCCCGGTAGCCGAGCTCCTGCTCTTCATAATTGCCGTAGGGTCCGTAGGTCTCCGCCTCGTGGCCGACGCGCGTATCCCAAGCCTCATCGGGGTCGAGGGGTCCGAAACCTCGACGGGGTGCACCGGCCGAGGGCTGCTCGTAGGCGCCAGCGGCGGATCGGTTGTTGCGGTTCTTGAAGCCGGTGATCTTGTCGTTGAACCAGCCGACGATGCCGCTGGGCGCAGGGCGCGGGGGTCCGTACGCTGGTGGTTCGGATTTTCGGAATGGTATGTACGAGGAAAGCGAGGGCGGCGGGAGCTATTGACGAGAGGTTAGCAGGGAAAGATTAAAGCAGTGCGACCATTGTATCTGCTTGAGAGGAAGGAACGAGGATGCGAAGAGCGAGGCTTGACTTACGCCCAGTCTGCGGGCGCGCAGCTGAGTGAAGATGACCCAACCGACTCCAGCGACAAGCAGTAGCACCAGGATGGCGATGACGATGCCTCCAGCGGCGTTCACCATGGCTGCAACTGAGATGCGACGGGTGTCGTCGTCTTGAGTAGGGTTTGCGACAGGAAGTCTTCAATGATGTGTGGTTGCAAGTCTCCGGTGTGCGATGGAAATCCGGCTCATGGGACAAGGTGGTCGTGGGTGGTCAGCGGCAATGGTGTTCGTCGCAGTCGCAATTGTCGCCGGAGCTGTGGCTGTGGTGTGTGCGGGAGAGCGACGGGACGGATAATGGAGGAAAAGCGCGCGCGAGGGCTCGAGGAACCTGGGAAGGCACGAGTACGGCGCAGGCAAAGCAAGGCAGAGAAGCGGAACAGAAAAAAAGTAAGATGAGTTGGTAAAAGAACGCAAAGCCCGGCGAAACCTTGTTTGACAGACAGGTGAGGCGGTGCGCAAGGCCAGGTCAGCACCCAAGCTTGAGTCGGTGTTTCCTTGCTTGGAGGTGACGGAACTCAGCTGCCAGCCAGTTGGGTCAGTTGGGTGGTGAGTGAAAAGGCAACCTAGACTGCGGTAGTGGTGGTGGTGGTACGAAGACAAACGGGATAGGTAGGATGACGAGACGATGGAGGAGGAGCAGCAGCAAGGCAAGCTCGGGCAGGCTGCATCTGCAAGTTGGTGGACGATGCGCAAATAGCGTCGTCGGGTGCCTTTTGGGTGCGAGGCAGCTGCCAATTACAGCGATGCCCGGTTTCTCTAGCTCCGCGCGCTCCGTGCGCTCCGTCAGCGTTGCTGCATGGAAGTCGGACTTGCTGCCGCTGCTGCTTCGAGTCCACTTCAGCTTCTCTGTGTCTGTCTGTCTGTCTGCCTGTCTTCTGGGGGCCATGGATTTAGGCTTAGGCTCCCCCCCCCCCCCCCCCCCCCCCCCGAATCAGGCGTGCCGCACCCGACCTCCACTCCCACAGAGCTTGGCCAACAGCTTGTTGCTTTTTCAGTGGATTACTAAGGCCGCAAGTGGTTCGTTTCTTCGGTCCACCGTTCCCCTCCATCTTTCTGGGGTTCAATATTTCCTCCCACCAGTCAGGCTGGTGCTGGTGCGCTTTGGTGGTGAAGTGGTGCCCAATCATGTCATGGCCGTCACTGACAACGAACGGCACCGCGCGCGGGCGGGTGCTAAGACGGCGCACATTCCATCCAAGGCCCCGACGGAGCGCATTCATTGTCGAGGGCCACGAGGTCCAGGTCCGGCAGCTGAGTCCCGGGACACCGGTTCTGCCTGGCCGGGACGCACACAGCGTTGGTGAGGACCTCTACATATCTTACCTTACCTTAAGTAGGTAGTATGTAGGTACCTACTCTCCCACAATGACGTGCGTACGCAGTACCTTAGCTAGGCCCGCCCGCCCGTTCGTTCTTGGAGAGCTTCCGTGCCCGCCGCACCTTGGTCCGCTTGCCCCCGTCCAAAATGTTTTGGCGAGCCGGGAAACGAAACCAGCTTTGAACCCCTGCTCGCTGCCCATCGCTCCATTTTACCAAGTGTACGAAGCACGAAGCATGGCTTTGTCCCTATTCATAGCGACTCCCCCTTGCAGTTGAGACAACTATTCAACCACTTCCCCCATTACCTACCCCCATTACCCCCCTGAACGGACTCTCACGCACATCATGATGCTGCGTTTTTAGTAGCTGCGCTTTGGACTGCGGGTTGGGTAATTGTGACAACTGTCAGATACGGCCTTGGCTTCACACTTCGCATGCTAGTCATTCGCTCTCTGACTTTTTTGCTGGAAAAATTGCCCCCCAAGCTTGCGCAACCTGCCGCTGCAGAGAGAGATCGGACTCCTAGGCCACTGTCACTGAAACCTAGCGCTCCCAATCAAACACTTGACACTGACAACTCGGCACCTCTATTGCGGCACTTGGCTTGGCGATCGTATCCTCTTCTCTATTGTGGCTGATTAATAGTCTACCTATCCTCTTTTTCTCTAGACAGGAGTGCCCAGAATGCAACCAACGAAGCCTATTCTTGGGTATCACACGAAACATTGGTCCCAGAGTCCGCCGCTCTTCGCGAACGTCTGGCTGTTGACAAAAGCGTCCAGCTTGCATCGTCCCAGGTCGTCTGCGCCGCAACCGTTGAGCGGCACCACTCTGTCGTTGACCAGGATCCGAACCAGCTCCTCGTCCGATCCGCACTTCATCTTTTCAACGTACATGCGTGCTGCAAAAGGCACCGTCCAGCTGGCCGTGAAGCCCTTTGCATCCTGCACCGAAGTCCGCTTCGTCTTGTCCAGCGGCGCCGTCGAGTTGTAGAGCCCGAGCGCCCCGTAGATGCTCATCATGTCGTTGTCGTGACTGAAGTCGGCGTAGAGCACCTTGTCGAGCGGGAACGACACGGGGTCGGCGTCCAGAGTCGAGTTGGTCGACGTGTGATCCACGACGGGCTGCTTCGTCAATCGCGCGAGCAGCTCGTTGGTGAAGCCGACACCCTGCGTCGGACCCATAGGGTTGCCCGCGTTGAAGCCGTAGTACTTGCCCAGAGTCTCGTAGTACTCGAGGTCCTTCCACTCGTCCAACGTGAAGAGGTCGCAGAACTGAGACTGTATGCCGTTAACCACAGTGTTGAATGGGCACAGCTGCATGAAGCTAACAGCGTCCTCGGATGTAAAGTTGACCCCAGGCAGATTCGTGTTCAAACGGCTCACAATGGGGGCTGTGAAGGTGTTGCGCCAGTCAACCTGAGCGTCATCACCGACCTTGGAGAAGTTGCCTGACTCGAACGCCGTGCAGAGGCTGTGGTCCAACGTGTTGTTGAAGCCCTCCTGCTCAGGGATGACCATGATCTGTGAGTTGATTCCTCCATCAGGTCCGTTGTGACCATCTTGGATCTTGGCTCCGAAGAAGCCAGAGGTCCAGTTGAGACCAGACTCAACGACGCGATTCTGGCCCGATGATCTTATGAACGGGTCAGCGCTAGCGGCCAGAGACTGATAGCGTTTGTAGAAGGCCTCTCCCGACCCGACAAGCTCGCGCTGGCCGAACGGAGTGAGCTCATCAGCACCGAGAGTGTACTGGTAGTCCTTGATGAACTCAAAGCCCTTTCCGTACTGAGTGGCGGTTTGGTGGATGCGGTCGACGAGTGCCTTGTAGGTGGCCGTCTTGCCCGAGGTGGGGTCCCGAGCGCCGTGTCGGTGAAGCACCTGCGCGAAGGTGATCGTGCATCCGTCGGGGGTGGCGGCGCTGATCTCGGACGGCACCGAGAAGAAGGGGGAGTACTGGCCCCAGAACTGAGAGACCTCGCCAGTGGCGTTGTCCGGCTTCTGGCCGCTGACGAGGCTGCTATCGCGTTAGAATGCCCGTCGACTTTTTAATGAGAAATCAAGTATATCGTATGAACTTACCTGAAGCCAGCGACCAAGGTGAGTAGAGCGGCGAAAGACATGGCGCCCAGAATGAGCAAGGCAAGTGTAGGCTTCGGTTGACGCCGGTAGGGCTCGTACTCCGTCTCGGTGCCTCCTCTGTCCTCGTCCTCCGGGATGGAGCTGTACTTATGTGTCTTGCCCACAAACAGGCCCCTCACTGACTTGTAGGCCGAAGTGGCGGCATCGGAGAGTCGACCCATCGCGGCAGATGGAGGGCAGGTGCCAGGAGGAGAAAGATGGAAATTAGAGTGCCTGGGTGGTTCCCCAGGTCAGTGAGCTTGCGTACGACGTAGGGTCCGCCCGCTGCAGCATCCCTGTTCCCCTCGTTCGGGGGTTCTTTTTGGGCGTATGCGAGTGAGGTGTGATGCAAGGTGGGTTAAGAGGCTAACGGGCTAAGAAGCGAAGTTGTCTCGTGTGTCTGATTTTCCGCCGGTTGAAGGGGGTTTCCCAAGGTGCGGAAGGTGGATTGGAAACAAACGGCAGTTGCGCGGTGCTTTTCAGGGGATATAGTCCGGGAGAACCCCTGTTTTTTTTTTCCCCATGCCATGCAGAAAAACAGACGGATGTGTTTGCTGATGAAGGACGGCGGCTGTGCGACGTTTCCTTAGCGATGTCGAGTTTCAACCTTCAACGGGCACTTAAGCACAGCTGGGTGCCACCGGTTGGCGGTCGGAGCGTCTTCGGGGGCTGGCGGGGGAAGGTGGGAGGTCGGGCGGACATTAGACCCAAACGTGGACAGGCACGGCATGTCTTTGGGGCAGTCACGTGGGTCGATGCGACGTTGGAATTGGAACAAGCTTCGCGATCGCCTTCCCTGCAGCTCCCCCCTAAGGCCCCCTGTGGTTCCACCTCCGAAATACCTCACAGCGGCTCTTCCCTTCTTCATGCCGAACAACCCGTGCCAAGTGCCGCTGATAGGTCGCGACCGGGACCTGGATGGACGATGGACGACTGATTCGACGCACGCCATCCCGGAAGTTGACTCAGGATCTTTTGCTGTCGATTCAGAGAGCACGTGCGATTCTAGGATGGGTCTTCAACACTATCGAAACTCTCACACGCACTCGGTCCGGACCTGATCTTCGACTTATATTGACATCACTAACTAGAGAGTCACAGTAATAGAGGAGGCATATCAGGTCGCGGAAGAGGTGAGGTTGTGCGGCAACTGACTTTGCTTCAATTCTGCCACAATAATATCCGATCTGCGAAATATTTCTACCAGCGAACGACAGTCATGGTGCTTCCTAGGCCTCCTCCATCGCGCGACCAGTCTCAAGTGCGCAAGATCTTCTTTCTATCCTGGAACAGCTTGATGTCATTCTTCAGCATTTCGCGAAGGCTCTTGCTGACGGCATCTTCACCAGCTACCATGTCCAACTGTTCATTCGTCATGCAAAAAATGCGATTGGGACACAAGACTCCAAGGGGGCCGTCCTCGGAGCCGAGAAGAAAGTAGTCCACAACTTGGGTACAAGTCATATCCGAAAATCGAGCGCTGGCAATATCATAGTAACTTTTCAGGACATCGTGGATGGTGCAGCAAGTCTCGTTGAGGCCCTCGGCCTCAGACGTCTCTCGCTTCAGGTCCTTCCACATGACGCACTCGAGGGACTCTTCTCCATTCTGCACAGTAATCTTCGAGTCCTCATACTTGCTCGCCGATCTCATCGTCTTGACCTGGTTGAGGGCTCTGTCGAAGGCGGGATTGTAAGTGATGGATCGTCCCTCCCGCTCCACGTGGATCAGCAACTTCGCCTGATCCATGGCAACCTGGTACCGCTTCAAGAGTTCATCCAGAATCGAGGACCAGAGTGCGTCGCGGACCTGAGCGTCTACACACGCTTCCTTCACCACACTGTAGATGAAGTGGTGAACGATGAGAATCATATTGCTCACATGAGCCAGAGTCGTGGCCTCCCACTTGATGGATTGCTCTTTGAAGGCGGTGGGCAGCATGTGACTGCTGAACTGCAAAGCTGTCAGCTGGCTCACTTGAACAGAAAATCAAACGCTTCATGTACTTACGGTGCCCAGCTCGTAGCCTCGAGAGGTCAGATACAACTGCTCAAGGTGCTTCATGATGCCACTGGTTCCTGGCTTGGCGCATTTACAAGCCTCCGCCAGAACTCCATCGAGTTCACCGGATTCGTCAGAGGGGATCGAGAATGAGAGAGGGTAAAGGTCGTTTCTGCTCGCGTCATCGTCATCGTCAGACTTCTCCGATGACTCGTCCGAGTCGTCGCCTTCGCTTTTGCTCGCAGAAGGATCAGCAAATTGCCGAGTATGAGCGTTCTGGAAGAACATTTTGGAGAACGATGTGTTAGCCTCTCGGACACGTGTGGCCAGTCTCAGGTCTGGGTGCTTGTCAAAGAGCGGGTCTCCGGTGTAGTAGGCGTTCAGGCCGAAGTTCTTGAGTTCAACGAAGCGGCTCACGATCTCGCCGAGGAACCGTCTCTGTTCCTGTGCGGTGCTTCTTGGTTGACCAAGAGCTGCGAGCTGTTTCTTCGCATCTGCAAGGCGCTCGTCGATGTCACGCCGAACCTTAGGAAACTCGCTCTTGGTTCTGTCCATTAGCAACTCCCGCAGGCGGCTACGAAGTGCGGGGACACCAAGCCGGGATTTGTCAAGCCTGCACCAAGGTTCTTCGTCGAAGAAGAACTTCTCCTCAAAGTCCCGCTCGTCCTTGCTCGATGAAGTGTTGTCAGCGCCTCGGTTCTTGACAACGTAGTAGCCCAACTGAATGTCGCGCCGCTTGCCTCTGATAAGGTCCATGGCCGCCTCTCGAGTGGCGTTCTCTCTGACGAGATCCGGCTTCGTTAATACACCCAGAGTACGCTTACCCTCGGGGTCTGCTTCGGCAGCATAGGTGAGGATAGTCTGCGTAGCCACATCCACATTGCAGGGGATCACGGCAAGGATGCTGTTGATGTTAGCCAGTACCATTGCAGCAGGAGGAAACACGTGATGGCACTCACATGGTCCTGGAATCTTTGATGTAATCCTTCACCATGGATTTGACAAGAGCAACGTCTCTGGACGTGGAGAAGCCCTCCTGGACGTTCTCAAAGATGCCTTTGAACAAATTAGTCCATGACAGTACCAAAGAGAATCAGGGTCTCGCGATGTCACATATGTCGAAAAAGATCAGCGGCAAGGGAAGTCGGGCCAAGGGCCCAAATGGTGAAGACAACAGAGGAAACGCGAGACAAGGAATGAGACCACGCAGTCCTCACTTACCCGGGACGTCGATAATCGTGAGATGCTCCTCGTCTGGGCCACAAATCTCGACACGAAGGATGTCCTTGCTGAAGGCATCGCCCTCAGAGGAACCATCGGTGGTTGACTTCAATCCCATGACAGTAGAGGCCTAATGGGAAAAGCAAAACTTAGCAAAGACTCAATATCCAATGCTCTCCTTCAACCTGCCATCTGGAGAACTTCCGCAAACTGTCCTCCTCTGAGGTCTTGAAGCACATGTCTGAAAGACTTGGCGAGCTCAGCCTTCCGAGCGGTGGCATCGAAAGGATGAATGGTCACAACGATGCTAGTCGTCGGCTCTCGACGACAAACGATCTCCGTAGCATGGCGGGTGCAGAGTCCGACCGATCGAGGGAAGTAGTATCCGGTCAAGCTCTCGAGAACACTCGACTTTCCGGAGGACTGGTCTCCGACGACGACAAGCTGAGAGAAGAGACACCGGGTCAGATAATGGCCAAGTGGTTTGATCGATGGTTCATACCTGTGGAAGAGGGACCTGCTTGGAAATTCCCAGCTCTCTGAGCTTGTCGATCTTGTCCAAGAGATGGCGATTGCCCAGGCCCGTCTGGGGAGTCGACTGAACGGGAGCCATGGTAATGCTTCAACGATGAGATGTGGGCTTGTATTGACTGAGCAAAGTCTAGGTGCGATGAAGTTGAAAGGGAAGATGGGATGGAGGAACACGCCAGGAGATAAGAGAACGACATGCTGGCAGATCTTTTCATGCCGGAGGCCGTCAAATTGCGTTTTACTGCGTGTCTGCCTCCTGTCTTTCATCGGATTATGTCCGATGCCGCAGCCTGCCTGCTTCGGATGCAGGCGCGCATGCGGTAACAAACAAAGCCTACTTTCAGAAGTGCCCCGTCCTTGTCTACGTCAGTAAGGTAATCAAGCACAAGGCATCAAGCGAAGATTTTGGCTGGTTGTTTCAGTTGGGAGAATGGCCTAGAACTGATTTCTTTTCACGTCACGATACAGATTCTCCCTCCTCGATCTTTCTTGATGTACCAGCAAGGCTAATCATAAGATGCATGGGTTCTGGATCAGGCAAGAGATGCAAACGCCTCACCGCAATGAGGACAAACGGTTCGCGAGACCCGGGCCGGAAACACTAAGGCAGGTAGCGATATCATTGCCTTCCCGCATGGGCAGATCGAAGCATCAGCAGAGAAAGAGGAAAGAAAGATATCCGTGGTTCAGAGTCATGTAGCTTCATGAAGAAGTGGCAGGTGAAGAAGGTTAGTGTAAAGGCAGGCCTCAAGAGGGCCATGGATATCTGGGTGTGATTATGTTGACCAATGTATTCTGGCTGTACAAGGTCACATTTTACCTATTGATTGAGATTTGGAACAAAAAGAAAATTTTGAAATGCAAAAGGTTCGATTCGAGCCCCAACAAGCTGGGTTATTGTGTATCATCCAAGGCGCTTGCACTACTGCTGACCTGACCACTGGACCAATTGGCCCCGCTCGCTGTTGACAACGACTAGGAAGAACTTCAATAAATAGTCTGCTGCAGTTGAGAAACAGGAAGGAGCCCGGGGAGGGTCCAAGTTTCCAAGGGACGCAGGTTTCCGTGACCGGTGCTGTGATGGAAGGACCCGCCGAGGACCGGCTTGGGCTACCTACCGTACCTAGGTACGCGATCTGCTGCATTTGCAAAGATACCACCCAGGCACCCGTTAGAAACTGTTATGATTTGGTTGAATTTCATCCCATTTCATGAAGCTTTTCAAATTTGCGGCGCAGATATGTTGGTATTCGGGACCCATATCTCCAATCCAAAGACATGTCGTCGGATTTGAGTCGAGGGGCACGAAAATTGTTAGTGCATGCCACCTAAACCCACCACACCAACTCACAACCTCACCCCTTCATCTCACTCTCATCATCATTGAGGTCTCAAATAAGACGGCTATATCCTAACACATTTTGCTCGAGTTGAGACTGGTTCTATCAAGCTTCCCTGGATTTTTCACGAGATCCTCACAATCTTTACCGGCTATGGCTGTAAAAGCCCTCATCTCCACTCTGGAGGATGAAATCCTTGATCCTGAAGAAGGTACATCTCAACGATGAAAGCCACGACGTATCCTGAAGATTTTAAGCTTACCAGCACACTCAGAAACATTCTTCCTGTTCTCTCATGATATTCCATCCTCAAACCTAGGTTTCATCGACCCCAAAGCGACGACGCTATCGCTCACCCTCGCGGATCGGGACTTCACCATCCACCAATCTCCGACGGTCCTCTCATCAACCCGGGCAGGCGGCACAACCGGCGCTGGCAAGTTAATCTCATGCAACAATGCATCTTTCACCCTCCGTTCCCAAGAGAACATCCATCTCACTTCTCATAAAAACTATCAAATCTGGCATGTCGTACTAACATACCTCCCAACAGTCCTCTGGAAAATCACCCCCCTCTTCGCAACCTACCTCTCCTCCCCAACATCCCCCTTCAACTCCATCTTCACACCCACCTCCGCAGTTCTAGAGCTAGGCTGTGGCATCTCCCCATTGACAGCCCTCCTCCTCGCGCCCAGAATATCCCGCTACATCCTCACAGACCAGCCATACGTCTCGCGCATGATCCACCAGAACCTCGAAGCGAACCCCCTCCCATCCTCCACCGCTTCAAAACCCTCCTCCCGTCGGAAAAAGACCACTTCCACCATCAGCAACACCTCAGCATCCTCAAGCCCGGGAAGCATACAATTCACGTCCCTGGATTGGGAACTCGACACCTCGACGCCCTCTCTCACAGGCTCAACCTCGACCCGCTCCTTCGACGCCGTCGTGTGCTGCGACTGCATCTACAACGAGGCCCTGGTCGACCCCCTCGTCTCCACGACCGCCGACCTCGCTCGGCTCCGCCTGCGCGTCCAGGAAGAGGAAGAGGAAACCGACGCGGAGGAGGCGGAGCGGTCCGAGCCGTGCGTGTGCATAGTGGCCCAGCAGCTACGTAGCCCCGACGTGTTTGAGGAATGGGCCAAGAGCTTTCATAGGCGGTTCCGTATGTGGAGGGTCCCTGACGAGTTGTTGCCAGAGGGGTTGAGGATCGAGTCTGGGTTCGTGGTTCACGTGGGTATCTTGCGAGATTCAAAGTTTGAACTTTGATTTGATGCCTTGGATGCATCTCACGATATTTTGAGTGACAGAGAGGTTGGTGTTGGTACGGCGCAAAAGCTCAGTCTTGCGAAAAGCTGTGTCATGCTGCACATCTACCCTACATCGATATAGAAAAACTTTTTCTCGGCTTCATACAGAAAGCCACATGACCAAATCCCTTAGTTTGATTTCCCAATCGCCGCCGCCAGCATATGAACATGCTCAAAAAGCCAGTTGAACCCATCGCATCGTAGACACGTAAACTTTCAAAGTCAAAACTCCAGATTACCAATCCATTTTTTGTTTGTTTTGCTTTCTTTCTCTTTTGCTTTACCACTCGAGGGGCTCAGTCTTGGTCTCGCCCCGGTTGGTCTTGGGGACGGGAACCGCCTTGGCAAGGAGCTGGCCCGTCTTCGGGTCCCTCTTGAGGTAGGAGGTGCCGTCGAGCCAGGGGGTCAGCTGGGACATGCGGCGCTCGTAGTCGGTGATCTTGTCGTTCATTTGCATGGTCAGACCAATGTCGTCGAGGCCGTTAATCAGGCAGTGCTTGCGGAACTCCTCAACGTCAAAGCTGGCAAGGGTGTTGCCGAAGGCGTCCTTGATGAGCTGGTTGGGCAGATCAATCTCAATCTCCTTGCCAGCGCGGGCCTCGTCGGCGATCTTCTCCAGGACGGCCTGGTCGGGGATGACGATGGGCAACATGCCGTTCTTGAAGGTGTTGTTGAAGAAGATATCGGCGAAAGAGGGGGCGAGAACGCATCTGATGCCGAAGTCGTTCAGAGCCCAAGGGGCGTGCTCTCTGGAGGAACCGCATCCGAAGTTAGGGCCGGTAACAACAAGGATCTTGGCCGCACGGTAAGGGTCGTTGTTCAGGACGAAGTTGGGGTTCTCGGAGCCATCCGAGTTGAAGCGGAGCTCGTAGAAGAGAGCCTTGCCGAGACCAGTGCGCTTGATGGTCTTCAGGAACTGCTTGGGAATGATAGCGTCGGTGTCGACGTTGGACTTTTCCAAAGGAGCGGCGATACCCTTCAGGTTGGTGAACTTGGGGAGACCAGTGGAGCTGCCAGAGGCGGAGGCGGAGGTGTTGGTGTGGGGCTGGTTGTCCTCGGGCTGATCGGCGATGGCCTCCTTCTCCTCAGAACTCTCCTCAACGCGCTCATCGACGTGAGGCTCGATGGGAGTGATGGCTGCCTCGATGTGAGGGCTGGCCTTGTACTGAGACAGTTTCCTGACGTCGGCGAGCTTGCCAACGATACCAGCGGCAGCAGCCATGACGGGGGACATGAGATGCGTCCGGCTGAGGGCGCCCTGGCGACCCTCGAAGTTTCTGTTGCTGGTGGATGCGCATCTCTCCTTGGGGGCAAGGATATCAGGGTTCATGCCGAGGCACATACTGCAACCAGCCTCACGCCACTCGAAGCCGGCGTCGGTGAAGATCTTGTCCAGACCCTCGGACTCAGCCTGGGTCTTGACGAGACCGGAGCCAGGGACGACCATGGCGCGCTTAACATTGGGGGCAATCTTCTTGCCCTTGACGACGTGGGCAGCTGCACGCAGATCCTCGATACGGGAGTTTGTGCAGGAGCCGATGAAGACCTTGTCGATGGGGATCTCCTCAAGGGGGGTTCCGGCCGTGAGACCCATATACTCCAGCATTCTGCGGCCAGCAGCCTTCTTGGCCTCAGTGGGGAAGGTCTCGGGGTCGGGAACGGTGCCGGTAATGGGGACGACGTCCTCGGGGGAGGTACCCCAGGTGATGGTGGGGATGATATCCTTGGCGTCAATAAACACATCAATGTCGTACTTAGCGTCGGGGTCGGACTGGAGAGACTTCCAGTACTTGGTGGCGCGGTGCCACTCGTCGGAGTTGTACTTGGGAGCCAGAGGGCGGTTCTTCAGGTACTCGAAGGTAACCTCGTCGGGGGCGACCATGCCGGCTCTCGCGCCACCCTCGATGGACATGTTGCAGATGGACATGCGCGCCTCGATGCTGAGGCTGCGGATAACGGAACCGCAGAACTCAATGACAGCACCAGTACCGCCGGCAGTTCCGATCTTGCCAATGGCGTGAAGGACAACGTCCTTGGAGCTGACACCGGGAGCCAGCTCGCCGTCGACTTGTATCCTCATGTTCTTGCTCCTCTTGGTGATCAGGCACTGGGTGGCGAGGACGTGCTCGACCTCACTGGTACCGATACCGAAGGCCAGGGCACCGAAGGCACCGTGGGTGGAGGTGTGACTGTCACCGCAGACAACCGTGGTGCCGGGAAGAGTGAAGCCCTGCTCGGGGCCGATGACGTGGACAATACCCTGGCGCTTGTCGCCGAGGCCGAAGTAGGTGAGGCCGAAGTCCTTGACATTCTCCTCGAGGGTCACGCACTGCACGCGAGAGTCGTCCTCGGCGATGAAGGAACCAATGTCCTTCATGCCTTTCCGCGATGAGGTGGGGACATTCTGTTGGAGCAGAGTTTAGCGATTGGGTATTTCCGAGTACTTTGCAAATCCAATTGGTTACTTACGTGGTCCGTCGTCGCCAAAGTGCAGTCCGGACGGCGCACTTTACGACCGGCATTCTTCAGACCCTCGAAGGCTTGCTGCAGGCTTTGTTAGCGAGCCGTCATGGTGGGGTCGATCAACCGACGTCATCCGAGATGCAGGGCAAAAAAAGCGTCACGTACAGGAGAGGTAACCTCGTGAACAAGATGTCTGTCTGTCGCACAACCAACGTCAGCAAATTACTCCCTGAGGCCATGGCAGGCGAGGCAGAGCTGGGCTCAAGGCAAGGCAAACTCACCAATGTACAGCAGGACTGTGCCGTCGAGCTTCTCGTCGACGACATGGGCCTGGAGGACCTTGTCGTAGAGAGTCTGCGGGGTTCCTTCGGCAACAGGCATTGTGTGCGACTCGAACGCGAAAGCGAGTTCCAAAAGCAGGCAGCGTCCTCACGATAAGGGACCGGTTGGTGTGATGCTCGCCCGGTGCTCTCAATCAAGTGTGGGGGGGAAGTCTGAGGTCAAAAGCAGGAGAGGCTGTCGCGAGACAAGAGGCGTAAAGGGGAAGAGGGAAGGGTGTAAAAAAGAGTAGAAAATTCCTGTGTCAGAGGTTGTGGCAGGATGTGGGGGACGAGCAGCTCAATATGTATCTGCCGGACCAGGAGGCCTTCGTATCTGGCTTTCGAATAAAGGGAGCCAGAATGCTAGGTAAGGCAGGTGAGTAGGTAGACATGGAAGAGGAGGAACATGGCCAGGTACCTACTTTTGCTTCTGCGTCAGGTACCTTGCCTCCTGTGACCTCCGGTCCAAGGTCCAGTCCAGTCTCTTAGAGTTGGCGCGCTGAATCAACAACGATACCGCAGCAGCAAGCATGGACACTACGAGCCCATTGCCCCGCGCCCTCACAAAAGTGCCCGCCATGCCAGGTTCCTGACCCTTCCCAGCAAAACAAATTGGCCAAAGCCGTGAAGCTTTGGCACGAATTCTGTTCCGATCATCGGAGGCGTCAGCTCCAGCCAGCTGCGGGTCCGGTCGCCGGAACGCGGGGTACAGCGCCCTGATTTGCAAATGGCGCCCGCGGATTGGCCCGTCGCCCCCTAGGAAGCCCTCAGAGGCCCTGCACCGAGGGGTCCGCTCAGAACCTTCCAAACGCTGCCATCAACGCGCGCCGCCCCTCTACGATGAGTCTTCACTTGGGACTCCGGAGCAGTTTTTTTTTCCTATTGCTACTAGGTACCTTACCTAGAATCCATAGAGGGGAGCCACTGGTTGACTACAAACCCGCACGTGAGACCGCAAGAGCCCGCAATCTGACGAGTAATATGGGCTCGCATGGGCTCAGTTCCGCCGAAAACAGCAACTACTTGAATTCTCATGTGTCCGAAGTTGTATCTCTGAGTCGGAGCGACCCAGCTGCGCCCCCGTTTCCATCCGTCGTTTGCCGTCCGCTCTTTGCCGTCGTTGCGTTGGTCTCATTTGAAGATTCATGTGCGTGATCGTTGTTGAGAGGCTTAAAAACCAAACGGTCCCAATCTTAATCCTGGTTCTTGTCAACTGCCTATGGATATTACTTGCCAACAACACTTGCCGGGAGTCGTAGTCACAATCCCAGCGGCACCGGCAGTGGCAGTAGGGTACGTATTCCTGTCTCGTCCTTAGGACACTAGAAATATTGGCAAACAGCTGTGTACGCGCGGATTAACAATCCCATCCCACATATGGATGCAACATCCGACGTTCATCGCTTACTCGATGATGACGCTGCAGAACTGCATTACAACCACCGCCGAACGCCTAGATCGGCGCCGGCCGACCAAACGGTGACGGACGGCCTCTCAGCAGCCACTTGCAGGTTGCCAGCTGCCTGCCCAGCATCAAGTTCTCACCGCATCGGCGGCGGCTCCTGCGGTGATCCCAACACCCCGTCCCAGGCTAGACCGGAGGCCGCGACAAAACTCGACGATTACACCCGAGGTGCCGAATAGATCATGCACCTCGCACTCCCGGACGCCCGCTGCCAGATGCACAACACTGATTAATGAGTACTAGCCATGCCACATATCAATACTTGTATCCTCAATCTGCCTCAACACTACTGGTTAGCCGTACCACTCCCCTATCCCGATGCATGCTTGTCCCGCACCGCTACCCCACACGAGCTCAAACAGCGGCCGTCAGTCTCGTATCATTGAGCGCTGCGCTTTCGGCCTTGCCTTATCACCAAATCCCTCTCCCCCAACCCAGCCGATGTACGGCGTGGCAGGGCCGCACACCCAACCCGGTCCCTACTGCGCCGATCGGCGGTTGGTTGGGCTCGAACGCCAAGCTTCTCTCCACAACCTCCCTTTTTCGTCATGGTCGGCTGCCAGGAACCGAGAATCGCAATCAAACCTCCCCAGCTTGCCTTTCAAATCCCCAGGATGCTTCGCATCATCCGCATCATCCATGCTATTCCCTGTGACAGCCGGATTGCTACCGCCAATAACATGAAACCGCCGATCAACGCCAGCACAAGTATTCCAACGTCCGTCCATGTGGATTTGCTGCTGTCCAGTCTCTGCCGAAGAGGCGATGTCGGAACGAAGCATGGTGATATGACTTCCCAGTACAGTTGAACTAGGCTGATCGCGAGCTGCTTGCCTTGAGTGGCGTATTTCCGTGTCTGTCTATGCCACTCCTCCCTTCGCAAACGACCTTCGATGACGCCGTCTTCGGACTTGTCGACCTCGTGGGCTGTCGACATGCTGCAGCCAGTCTTCAACATGGCTGGATCGACTTGACTGACAGGACTGCGTAGCTGTGTCGTTCTGAGAGTATTGCAGACCTCTTTCTGGTTGGAATCGCACGCTTTTTTCGGATTGACGTTGGCGGGCCTCGTCTGGTCGATGAGAATTCGTTGTTGTTTCTGACTGGAGTTGTTCACTTCCTTCTGCTTGATCACGTCGGCATCGTGCTGGTCCGTCCTCAATTGGTATGTATAGTCGACCTCGTTCGCCCCGTCCAACTGGAGCAGGGTCCTGTTCTTCACCGTCTCCGTTTTCGCGGCCCGCATATCGTTGCTGTTCAAAAGTGCCCCGCTCATGTTGCAATCGCCTCGCGTCTCTAGCCGGAGTGCCTTCGCTTCTTTTGCCATGTCCGAAACCGCGCCATTCGACATGACGTCTTTCCAAATTGCCTTGCTCTTGTTGGCTGCTCTGACGAGGTGGAGACCATTTCTCAACCTCGTCCTGAGTACGCCATGGACAGGCAAGCTCCTCAGGCTGGATGTCTTTGAGTTGCTGTCCTTGTTCACCCCATGGTCTCTCAGAGTTTCCACCATCTTGTTGCCCGACTCGACCATTGCTATTCTGGCCGCTTCCAGACATAAGGTTTGGTTGAGGTTGTCTTGGGCGGCTTCCTTCAACTCGTTCGGGGGTGACATAGACGTGGACGTGAGTGATGTGACAGAGCTCTCCGTTGGGTTTACCCGAGGGCTCTCGCTGGTAGGGGAACTGCTCACAGACAATTTCGCGGCCGCCTCTTGGGTCGCAGGCCCTCGTAGAGTTTTCCTGAAGCCGTAGTCTGTCGAAGCCAGGTCCTGGCTGAGCCCCTGGAAACCTAGGCGGTACCGAACTGATGCCGTCTGGCCTTCTTTTCCCGGCAACGGCGTTGGGTTGCTGGCTCGGGAACGTCCCAGCAATCTTGGGCCGTCCTTTCTCGATTTCATTACGGGGAGGCTGGATTGGTGGCGGTTCGGTCTTGATGGGCGGTCTGTCTTGATTTTGTAGGTGCGCTCGCTGGGTCGGTAACGAACTGGTCCCACTGCCTTCTCTATTGCCATTATTTGGCTCGCGCCTTGGTGGCGTGCCGAACTTGTCGGGGCCTCTTCTGTCATGCTCTCCGCTGGGCCATCGAATTGGCATTGAAGGGCTGTGTTCTCTCTTGGCGCTGGCGTCGGGGTTTTGTGCTGGTACCGAAGGGACATTGTTGGGAGGTCCTTTCGAAGAACCTGCGCTTGGCTGTCGAATCTGTAATGAATTGATGTCGTTGATATGTCTTCTGTCGACGTTGACATCTGATCGCCGAATTGTCGACTTGAGTGTCGATGTGCCACTACGCTCCAATTGTCGTTCTCCGGTGTCTCCTCGAGGTTTGTGGGCCTTCGGCACTGGCTCGGCGTACCAAGACTTTGGTCGAAGCCAGTAGTGGTGGTGATGGGTGTGAGAGCAGCGTCGGCCATCACGCCCGCCTTCTTCTGATTTGCGGCCCAGACTGGATGTACTTCCGTTGCCGAGTCGCCTTGTAGCCTTACTTGTGTTGTCAGAAACTGGATCTCTTGAGCTGACTTGAACTCTGTCATGCCAAGATGGTTGTCCAGCAGATCCCGAACCGATGCCCCGACCCTCTCTTCCCTGCTCATGGCCTTTGGGCTTGCCGGATGACTTTGGTATATCGACCATAACTTTAACCGGGACGAAGTCGCTGTAGCTTCGTTGGTGGTAGACGGGACTTTGTTCATCCTCGAATCGGACGGATTTACTGCGGTTATGTGAGCCCGTCCTTCTGTCTCTTGCTGTAGTGAAGCCAGAATCTTTCCCCCTTGAAGATCCGCCAGTTCGCAAGATTCCAGGGGATCCCATTCTTTCTTCAGGTCGCCTTGTTGCTCCCATGGCTGGAGGAAATTGAGTCGCGCCTCGCCGTTCTTGGTCAATAGGGGCTTGGCGCTGACTTTGTCCGCCTGTTTGCCTTCCGGGGTTATCTGTGTGTCGATTGCTGGTACCGTTGGTCTCGAATGTTCCTGGTAGAGGGTTCCCAAGGGATTGTGTCCTGGCGAAACGTTCTTTTCGACGCTCGATAGCGCCGTCTGGCTGGAAGCGCCCAGGGGTACTTGCTCGTCTGCCGTTTTGACTGGCCCCGGGCGCCGTTGGCCTAAAAAAGAATCCGTAATGGGCACATTGCTGAATCCCCCCGGTCTGATGGTCTGGGTAGAACTTCGAGGCCTTGGGTAGGCTGAAGGAGACGTGATATGCAACTCGGGCACTCCGGATTTTTGGCGTTGGTCCTCTCTCGGGAGGGCGGGAAGAGGTCTTTCGGCATTGATTAAGCCGACGGATATCTCGTTGCCTCTAAGCTGGCGGGCACCAGGAAAAGGGTGGTTGCTTCCCTTGCCATGCAGTACTGTATCTGAAGAGCCGGCATCGTCGTCAATGAGTACATGCTTCGGCAGATGAGACTTGAGACCTGACGGACCGGGAGGGCCTGAAGGTACCAGGGGACGTGGAGGACTTCTCCGAGCGGGTTCGAGGAGCTCCTGAACTCTCTGTGGCTGCGGCATGGGCCGTTCGTCTTTCCTGTCTGAACCTGTCATTCGATTTAGCAAAAGACGATGTTATGACACCCTCAGCTCAGTGCAGTCGGGTCACGGATGGCTTACCGTGATTCGACATGCCGGCCGATGACTGCGCTATAGGACTGAGGTTGGGTTCTTGTGCAGATGACCACTGCTGACGATTTCGATTCCAATGTATTTTCTCCTGAGCTCTGCGAAGCTCCTCCTTTTCTCGATCTTTGCGCGCAAATCGTTCCTTCTCTCGGTCCAAGACGCTTTTCGTGTCCTTTTCCGTCAGAACCGTGGCTCCTCTGCGGCCATCGAGGGGCTTTCTTTGCGTCTTTTGGAACGAGGCTGATTTCGGGTCGAGTGCCCAAGTTGCGGAGCTGCTCGTGGAGGGTGTGATGATGTCCAATTCCCCTGTGTCGGGGTTGAATCCCTGGACCCCAAGATAGTCGCCGCTTTCCTTGAGGAGTCTTCGCTGGGAATGGACTAAACGGCGTTCCTCGATGCTTCTCTCGGCTCGGGTCGTCCTGGTTGCCGTGGTATTTGCTTTAGTACCACC